GGGATCGTGGGGGGCGGCAGGGACTCCGAGTTGGGAAATTGTTCATTTCTTACCCTGCTGGCGAGGCTGTTTGTCGTCTCTGTACTGCCCTGGACGTGGTTAGTGGTCCTCTGGAATCAGCTTCCCATATGGAGGAGTTTGTCACTGTTCGAAGTTCATGCACCATTATTTTCTTCCTGCCCGCTGCTCTCCAGCTTAGACCAAGTCCAAGAAAACAGAAGGAATACAATTTTGAAAAGTTTGTTTGTAATTTTGTCCCAATAGGACCACTCTCCTTTCAATACACAACGTAAGGGAAAAAAAAATAAATCTACATTTAATGTGTATCCTCCAGAGAGCAAAATACTTGGTGCTGCCATATTTCATGTTTCCTATGTAACAGCCTTTTTTTTCTGGGGAAAAAAAAAAAAAGAAAAAAAAAAAAGACCTAAAATTGTTTCCAGTTCAGTGCAATTTTAAATTATTAGTTATTTACAGTTCCTTTGCACTGTAGGAAACTTCCCAGTATGTCATTCCTCCTGCATGTAACATGGATGTATTACACTAAAATATGTTAAGTCTGGAACAAGGGCTGGGGGCTTAAAACAACATTCCATGAAGAATACAGAAACTTTGTATCCTCAAGCAAGGTATTGATCAACTCTTATTAACACCTCAGTAATCTGTACCTGGCATACCTTTGCCTTTCTCTTGCAAATGAGCTCCCATTATTTTAAGAGGCCAAGTCTCAAAAGGGGAAATAATGGTCTGAAGCAGACTGCAAGTCAGCTGGACCTTAAGCCTCCCAAGGATTACAAAGCATATATATATATGTATGTGTGTATGTATATGTATGTGTGTATATGTGCATATATGAGTGCGTATATATGATGTGTGTGTGTGTATATATAATGTGTGTGTGTGTATATGTATACATATAAGAACGGGCTTTGCTAAGGGATGCTCACTGAGTGGAAAGAGGACTGGGGGAAGAAGTCCAAAATACCTCTCTTATCTGTTCAACATTATGTGACCAAAGCCTTTTTGGCAGTGCTCTTTGTTGTGTTTACCCCCAAGTCTTTGTGCAAAAAAGTGATGAAAAACAAGTTACAGTTTTCCATGTTACCTAGTTTGAATAAACAGCTATGTAAGGACAGAAACACTTACTCTTTCATAGCAATAGTGTTGTACCAGAAGCAGAAGAAATTATTCTCATCTACCTTTTGGGGAGGCTGAAGAGGTTATCATTCCAACTCAGCAGCACAACAGCAAACACTCCTCTAAATATGTTCTTTAATCTTCTGGGAGGGAAAGGTTTCATCTATCTATGACACTGTTCTCACCTAGGGGAAAAAATTGCGTATCTTACTTTACTCTTTTGAGAAAACTGAGTAAAGAAAAAGACACTACAAGAAAGTTTCACAAAGCTGGTAGCATGAAGTTATAGCAAAGGATATTGCTTTAACATAACATCACTCAGATAATGCAAAAACCAAAGATTAGGGAAAAAAATAAAGGTTTTTTTTTTTATTTTACAAGTATAAAAAACAGTGTTTAAAAATCAAAATGCTGGAAGATACATTGGAAAACCTGGCTTCTGAAGTGCAAGACTTCTCTGTGACAACTCCCCAAACAATGTCACAGCTCCTGAAAATTCTGCATTCAATGAGCAAATATATAATCCAGCAGAAATAACCCTTCTTGATGGCTCTTTAAACCCCATGATTTGGGAATGATCTGACCAGTCTCTGAAGAATGTGTTGAGGCATTCTGTGGCTACAGAGCAAAAGGGTTGGCATGAATTGTAATGTCTTTAATGCGAACATCATTAAGAGGTCGATAGGTTTTCTCATTCACAGGCAGCTTCTCCAGCTCATCCAGGGTCTCCAAGCCATCAATAACTCTGCAAGAAAAACAGAAGTGCTGGAAATTGCCTTCTAATAATGATTTAAATTGCACAGTTGAGATATCTCAAAACACTTCATAGTTAAGTATCACCAGGCAATGACTTTGCAAGCAAATTATACAAAATAAGACAACCAAAACATTTTACATGGCAAATAATGTATTTTGAAAGGAAATATTAAGCATCCATGACAGAAGTTCAAGCATTTGCATGTGCCCTGAGATACTCAGATCCCACACTGACACACACTGACAGAGAGGTACAGTTGAATCACTTACTTTCCGAACACCGTGTACTTCATGTCCAGGTGTGGCTGTTTACCATAAGTGATGAAGAACTGCGATCCATTGGTGTTGGGACCATTGTTTGCCATGGAAACTACCCCACGGACACTGTGCTGAACAAGAGGAAAAACCTCAGCATGAATACACCTCTGTGAAACCAGGACTAACCTGTGCAAAGTGCTCTATGACTTAGAGCTCCTCCTCAATACCATGATTAAGAATAAATCTCGGTTGCTAATATATTCTATCACAATCAGTAATTAGCTCCTCAAAATGGGTCTTACAGTGAACAATTACTTCTTTGCCTTCAGTGCATGAGAAATGCCACCAGGAATTCTTTTTAGTTCTGTTTTCAGTGATGAAAACCCTCAAACCTAATTTGCCAAGCACAGAAATTCCTGTTGCTATTTTAATAATAAGCTATTGTTCTCCAACCAAGAGAAAATTTTTGTAGAGAAAATTCAGATGAAAACATAAGTGCATATTGAGAGCACAGAAATACCTTTAGATATTCACTGAATTCATCTTCAAACTTCTTGCCCCAGATGCTGTTGCCTCCTTTCCCAGTGCCTGACAAAGAAGCACAACAGTAGAAATTACTGGATTTTCAGACTGAAAAAATCCAGAATTATGTTCTGTTACAACATTTTGCAGCAAAGACCCTAGACAGCCAGCAATTAGCTTGAGGCAGGTTATTGACACTGCCCTGAGAGATGATTCCAAATAAGGAACCTATTAAGTAGCAGAACAAAACACTGAGGTATCCTCAAATTAAATTCAGTATGAGTAGGAACAGACACAACTGAATCAGCTTTTCTCCCTAACAGCTGACACCTGGGACATTTTCCCCAAATGCTTTAGATGCAGCCTTTCAGGCAGAACCCACACAAAGCACAGAAGCAGCTGCTGCTACTTAAGTCAACAGAACCATTGTATTTAGTGCAAACAGCTGGTCAAACTCAAGTTTGTAGAACGCATGATTACTTTAAACTGGGATAATGCCTGCACTTCTGTAAGCCCACCACAGAAAACTAATCATAAAAACCTCTTATCAACAATACAATAACTCTTACATTTTCACTTTACTTACATTTTTGTTTTAATACCTATAATTCCTTTTCATTTCCTTACATTTTATTTTTATGTGTATTTTTTCCATAGAAAGACCCAGGCAGAAGAATTTACCTAATGGATCTCCTGTCTGAACCATGAAGCCCTTTATATTTCGGTGAAATACGCATCCATTGTAGTAGTTACTAGCACAAAGAGCCAGGAAATTCTACAAAAATCAAACAAACCTTATTAACAACAACAGAAAACCAGTATTATCTTACTAAAATGACAGCATTGGCAAGAAAAATGCTTTAACGTCTGCTTTGCTTTGTGACCATGTGAATTCCACAGAGTATGCAGCATAGTCATAAACAAATCGTATCTAATAAACTCATTTCATAGTGTCACACACACAAAGAATAAAAAGCTTTCAGTGTAAGGTTCTCTGGCTTGAGGAACAAACAAGAAGCATAAGACATCCTCTCAAGTATCATTCTCATTCAGCAATTTTATTTTACACATGTAATTTTGTAATCAATAACTTAATGCCTCAGCTTTTTCATCAAAATAAATTAAATTTATTTCAATTTCAGTTTATTGCAAAAATTCCAAATTTGGGTCTCTGACAAACTGAGTGAGTCTCACTCTTTTAAACTAAAATCGAGTCTCTGAGGATATGAGTAAACCCATGGAAATTTGGGAATCCCATGCTAGGTGCTGTATTGCCCCTTAAAGGACACTTTGGGAGATGCTGGAACTTCAAGAGAAGGAGCCCTTAAATAAACCTTATCAAATGAGAAACAGGCATCAAACTCTAGGCAGTATGACAGAGTGCACAAGTTTAGGCAGTATGACAGAGTGCACAAGTTCTATGAGTGGAACAGACACTGCACCAGTTTAAAATGTTGGTATTCCATTACAAGAAAAGGTGAAATTGCAAAAGCCACTTCACCTCCTTCACAGTCTGCACTGTTCCTAGTACTTTGTTTCACCACTAGGCAATCCTACTCCTGGTACGCAGCGTGACAGCCTGAGAAAAAGGCAGAAAACAATAACTAAATCAGCAGTAAAATATTCACAGACTCTGTTTTATTTCCCAGCCCCACCAAGAACAAAAGCAAGTTTGCACTGCATATAATCACTGTTTCAACATTTGGCCATAAGCAAAGCTACTGTCATGAACCAGCCACATTTCCAGAACAATCACCAGAAAGCACTCAGTTTCATTTAGTTTTAGGACAAATCCAGTTTGCCATGGTAATGCTGCATATGCTGTTACACTCCAGTATTCATTATTCATTTGCAAACAGGACCTACTCAGTCATTTGAATGTAAAGGTGAAGAATCAAGGTTATATCTATTTTAGATGGTGCACACACCTCACTGCTTTACAGAGGAGCAGCTGATGCCTTTTGATTGATAAGGCTAATTCTGAATGGCAGCATATATAATGTGCTTCACAGACAAGTAAATCTACAAATTAATTTACTTTTCTTAAGAATTTATAAGTTACCTTCATAAAATTTAAAATCAGTTACCCAGTGACTTAAGCAAATTTATCTCTACATGGAAAATATGTCACAGTGCTTCTATGGGAAGTGCTAAACTACGCAAAACCAATTACTGTAGGGATAACTGCAAAACTAATAAAAATCAGCATCATGTTGATACTGACATACTGCTCCAAAAGTGTACAAGGAGACAGTTGCCCACAATGTCCCTGAAGATGCTAGAAGGTGTATGAACAGTTTAAGACATTTAAAAATATTTAAAACAGTTTTATCTCTATTTCTTGAATTGTTAAACTTTTAAAAGCCTGTGAGTGCAGAGGTTTGCATATGCTGAAGAAGAGGTATGTTTTTGCAACTAGACTAATGCTTCTTTAGCAAAAGAAACCAAACTAGATTATCAAATACATGCCAAAAAAGAATTAAAATCTGGGATCTCTAAAGTAAAAGAATAATTATGTTTTAGACTGATATAAATCAACCTGCTTTCCTTTTCACAGTATCTTTTTATAAATTTTAAATGAAAACCCTGAACTTCTAATGACAAATTCCTCACAGCATCTGAGTAAAACATGTAATCCTTTGAGATGGAGAGCAGCTATTTGCTTTCCAAGAGATGACCATTTCAGAAAACAAAAATATATAAAATCTGCTTTTATTCTTACCATGCCTGCTTATCAAAAAAACCCGAGGTAGCCTTCGATACAGCGATTTCCTGCAAAGACAACATATGAAATCTGTTGCATTTTTTTTCTGCCAATCTCCATTTGTTTTTAATCCTAAAATATGTGTTGATTACACACTTTTACGCCACACGGTTCTACGGTGCCATTCCAGTGACTCTGTGGTTAATTTTTTGCATTAAGCAACTACTACATAAAGAATGAGAAATTAGTAGAAAAAAGACCACTTAGAGAAAAGGGAAGAGGGCAAAAAGCACTCTTTCCTAGGATGAAAATTTATACTAAGCAATCAGTTTTTGCAAATACTATGGCATTTACTAGAATAGTAGATGGCAGAAATTCATAGGTAAAAGCCACTTGCCAGTACCTAACAGAAGTGTGATTTGGGGCCAACTCGTGACAGCTGTGAGTGCCTGCAACAGACAGGTACCTGCACCCGAGCCCAGGAACAGACGTTTTAAACCTTTGAAATACTTTCAAATCAAGCGCTTAGAGTGACGGTAACAAAACGGCGGCTGCGTAGAAGCCGACAGATTTACGCGCTATTATCTCCTCTACACACCCGCCCTCGCCGGTGAAGCCCTGCAGAGCCCAGGGAAGCGCCAGCCCCGTGTCCCCACCTCAGCCTACCGGCCCCCGGCCCCCCCTCACCCACGGCAGCCGGAGCTCCCTCCCTGCCCGCGGTACCGCCACTGAAATAC